ACACACACACACACACACACACACACACACACCTTTCCCCCACACACACGCACATACACCCAGCTCCAAAAAAAAAGCAACCAAAAAAAGATAAAAGGTCATTTTACTTCTTCTTACCCGAACCAGATATATAATACTAGCACGACATACAAAAAGTTGCAGTGAGGTTATTTCTGGCCTCCACACGTCGCATGATGTTTGCTACATCACCACTTATCTCACCTTGACATTTCTGTACTTTGGTTCGATAACACTTAGTCACAGTGCACGAGTTGATAATGACTAACTTACTTTTTCTCCTCTCTTCAGATCCGCTCTTGATCAAAATTCTGTCGGTTGGGTGCCAATAAACACCTACTCTTTAATTATATAAATACAATTTTGAAAAGAAAATTCTGCGCCCTTCACCCCAACCCCAGTAAAAAAAATAATTTAAGAATGAGGAAAGAAGACATTTTTTTAAAAAGTCCTCTTCCAGTGAGTGCCATTCGCTAAGTGAGTGAATTACTGCGTCTTCTTGAATTGACTTGTCGTCTATGAATAGTATTCATTTGGCTATGGCTTTTAATAAACAGGTTGATTTGTTACTGGATAGTAAAGATGCACATCAGCACGGTACAGGTCGTTAATACGGGGTGCCCACTACGGATGAGATCGGCCGATCGCCCGACTCCGTTATACGGGGTGCCCACTCGATCGCCTGAAACTGAAAACGCGTTTGTTTTTTTTACGGGGTCGGGCGTTCGGCCCGATCGGCCAATGCCATCCCTAGTGGGCACCCCGTATAAAGTTTCAGTTGCTTTGCCGGTTTTCCCTGATTTGCCACCTAATAATATCCCCAAAATTTTCTCTTCTTTTTAAGCAACTCTTTAAACTGAGGGGGCTCTCGTGGCCTAGAGGTTAAGGTGTTTGCCTCTCATTCAAAGGTCCCGGGCTTGAATCCAGAAAATGACGGAACATTTTTCTTCTCTAAATTCTTTCCTGCTCTCCAGCAATGTTCTGTCGTCTGCTTTCGTCTCCACTTTCTGCCCTCACCCCATCACCTGATCCTTGGCCCCATCCTGTGGTTTCCGGACTCTTTCTTCAGCCTTTCTACTGCTACTCCTTGGCTCCTCCTTTCTGCTGTCTTTTTGCCACACCCCTGATCTTCTGGTAGAAGGAAAGATCTACACATAACCTTCTCGGACATTGCAAAATATCTCGGAGGTCCCGTGTGCAAGTTCCGCACGTTAAAGATCCCTTGGTGGTCTAAATCCGATAAGAGTAGGCTTCGGCCGCCACCCGGACAAAATTCAAAATTTCCTACCAACTGATAATGTTTAATGTGTCTTGTGCGCTCATATGATCTTTTGCCGTTGAGAGCGCTGTATAACAGTTATAAAAAACAAAAAACAAACCCAACAACAAACAAACAAACAAACAAACAAACGAACGAACAAACTAAAAAAACTGAGAACCCGGCAAAATTGTAAAAAACCGAGGGATCCCACAGATATCGGTTTAAGTGGACTCCTCTGTATTTTGGCCTAATTTATAATGTCTTTTCAAGACGTCTGGTTATGTTTATAATGTTTTATCCAGTTTTATAGCTGTGTTTACAAAGTTTATCCTGTTTTCTAGTCGTGTTTATGATCTTTTTTCGTGGGCTTTTTGGTTGCACTTATAGTATTTTGTCCTTTTTTCATGTTGCATAGTAATTATATGTTTTATCCTGTGTTCTAGTAGTGTTTACAATGTTTTGTCCTGTTTTCTGGTTGCATTTACCATATTATGTTGTCCTGTTTTCTGGTTGTATTTACTATATTTTATCCTGTTTTCTGGTTGTATTTACTATATTTTATCCTGTTTTCTGGTTGTATTTACTATACTTTATCCTGTTTTCTGGTTGTATTTACTATATTTTATCCTGTTTTCTGGTTGTGTTCCTCAGACAAGTACTATGTCACCGTGGATCAGCGGTACCAAGACACCAAGGACGCTTTCGTCTTTGCCCAGAGCTTGTGAGTTTCTATGACGTACTACACTTTGTTGGCTGGAAGGGTGGGACGGAAAGCGGGGGAGTGGGGGGGGGG